AATGTAATTATATTTAAAAGTTATTTTGATATTTGATTATTTATTTTTTAAAAGTGTTATGAATGAAATATAGTAAATTTTATTAATTATTAATTCAAATGCACCCTTAGTTGTTCTTAACGTAATGGTGGTGATCTAAATTATTTATCTCATTTTTAATTTTCATTTTTCAAAGACATTGTATTACTATTCACGTAAAGTTTAAAAGGTTTTAAATAAAAAATATTAAGTTATTTCTCTATAGTCTTCCCTTAGTCACCAAATTTGGAGCAAAGGGTTTAGTAGAGAAAATTAAAACTACCAATATTTTTTTGCGTGTTGAAAAGGTCCTTTTTTTATCTTTTCTTTATTGAGAGGGTTTTTTTTTTCAAGGGATAACCCTCCGCTTCTACTAACTTTTTTCCGCTTGGTTTAAGTTTTAAGTTTGAGATTTTTATCTTTTTTTTCTTAGCCCTTTTTTTTTATATTTTAAAATTTGAATTCAAAATTTTTAATTTAATGTGAAGTTGTCAATTATTTGAGATATCATTTGATAAGAGTTTAGAATTTTAATCTGAAGATATGCGAATCAAATTTGTCTGGAGTAAGAATAAATTTTAAAAAAAAATTTGAAAAAAGGAAGAAGAAAGAAGAATTTTCACCTTCTTTTTACCGCCGGAACATGCGAGATTTTTTCATGCAGCTTTTTACCAGGAGGGACACCCAACCAGCAGCCTTAGATACCAGTCTTAGGGTAAATTTTGATAGAAAGGCTTTTGTACCATCTACATTTTTTTTTTTTTTTGATCGGCTGTACCTTCTGCATTAATAATTGCTGCCTTTCCATTGAAAGTAGCAGACCCAGCACCTCCCACTTGTTTCAAACTAGTACAAATGTGAAATCAAAGATTCCATTCCCTCGTCTTTCATCCTCACAATTTCTCAGGTTTAATTGATTCAAAAAAAAAAAAGCAAAAAAACCCTTCTTAAGCCCCTAAACTTAACCAAAATAATATTTAAACTCTTAAATTAAAAATAAAATAAATAAATTCTATAACTCTATTAATGATACAAATAAACTCTTCTAAACAATGAACAAAATGGTATTTCTTATTTAATATCACTTTGAAAGTATGAATACTCATAAATAAGAAAGAGTTATTTGCATTGTGAGTGGAGTTAGAGGTTTTATCTATTTTATTTTTAGTTTAGGGGTTTAAATGTTATTTTACGATAAGTCTAGCGGCTTAAGAAGGGTTTTTCCAAAAAAGAAAAAAAAAAAACAAAACCATCATTGTTGAGTGCTACTGGAAATGTCAATTTTTTTAGCAACTGTAATTATTAACGAAAGTGAAAATTGCATGAGAGTGAGGCCATAATTCCAAATGCCAAACGCAAATTTATTGTTGTGAGAAACAGACCAGTGTTCTTCACTGTGTCACAATCCATGACCGTGGTGGACCCACGCCCACTTGGCTCCACCGGAGCTCAGCCCCACCACGGCCAACACCACCACCACCCTTTCACGTTCCTCTAACTGGCTCTTTCTTCTCCTCATCTCCCCTCTCTCTTTTATAATCCCTCCAACCTCTTTCCTGTTCCTTTACCTCTTCTCTCGTTCCCTCCGCTTGATCCCTCTCTCTTCCCCTCATCTCCTGTCTCATCTCCCATGGTTCCTCGATTCTCGTCATGGCTTCTCCGTCCAATTTCCCCTTCTCCCTCCCAAGGTTTAATCATTTTCAATTCTGTTCTTTGTTTTAATGTTTTTTCCCAGTAAAAATCTGAACTTGGGTTGCGTTGTTTCTTAATTTAACAGGTGGATTGGACTCTGTCAATTTCAGAAGTCCTGCAGTGAAGGCGGCAGCAGCGGCAACAACACCGACAGCAGCGATGAAAACCCAATTTCCAACTCAATCGAATGCTACGCTTGCACTCAGGTAGGCGTTCCGGTGTTCCACTCCACCAGCTGTGACGGCGCCCACCAGCCAGAATGGGAGGCTTCCGCAGGGTCCTCCCTCGTCCCCATCCAAGCACGAAAAAAGCCCCCATCTTCATCCTCGTCCCGGACCCCTTCCGGTCCGTTCGGAGGGGTGCTGGACCCGCGAAGCAAGCGCGTGCAGACATGGAACCGCGCGTTGCTGCTGGCTCGCGGCATGGCGCTAGCCATCGACCCTTTGTTTTTCTACGCGTTGTCAATAGGAAGAGGCGGGTCGCCGTGTTTATACATGGACGGCAGCCTGGCTGCCATCGTCACGGTGCTCCGGACGGGCGTGGACGCGGTGCACCTGTTCCATCTGTGGCTTCAGTTCAGGCTGGCGTACGTTTCCAGGGAATCTCTCGTCGTTGGGTGTGGTAAACTCGTGTGGGACGCACGTGCCATCGCTTCCCATTACGTACGTTCCCTCAAAGGCTTCTGGTTCGATGTTTTCGTCATTCTTCCAGTCCCTCAGGTTCGGTCTCTTCCTGCTTCTTAAATTTATTTTTTTTCCTTTTTTTCTTTTTATTTAGAAAAAGAGTTTATAAGAGAGGGATTCTAACATTAACCCTAAAGCTGAAGATGTACATCAGAGTACGAGAGCCATATGTTTTTTTTTTATTTTTTTATTTAATTTCAATTCGAAGGACAGAAATCATGAATTGCATGTTTTTCAATCGTGTCAATGCCACCTTGTGACTTTAAGAGATTCTTATCTTTGCATGTAAGGATAAAATAACAATGATTGAACGTGATAATTATATTAAGAAATTTATTTATTTAATTATTTAAATTATATAATTTAATATAATTTAATTTATATAATATTTTTTTATGAGAATTATTGGATTGGGCAATTTTAATATTAGGAGATTTTGTTTTATTTAACTATTTAACTTATGTGTTTAGATACAATTTAAATTATATAATATTTTTTTATTATTTTAAATTGAGGAAATGTTGTCCTCATGATTATTTTTACTTTTTTCTAAATATTTCCTCCAAATGACACAATGAACTCATAATGATTGGCTGATATGCAAGATGGTTTTGTTTTTTTTTACAATATTTTTGGATAAGTATATTTATTCTGTGCATCTAGAATTTCTGGCAAGAGCCAAGGATCGAGCTCTTGTATTGTAAAATTTTCCCATCCCATCCCCAAAATTTTTCTATGTTTAAAAAAGGAGAACGAAAAAATCATTCTTAAGTAATTTTGTCTTGGTAGATTTTCTATTGGTGACTTGGTCAATGACTGGTCTTGTGATTTTTAGGTTTGTAGTTGATTTAATTAGAGAATAATTCCTTATACGACATAAAGTATAATAGATATATATCATTTCACACCAACCACTAAACAACAAGAGTTGATTATAAATTGAACATTTGTAAGTTTTTATTGTAAGAAAATTGGCGTGGTCTGTGTGAGAGTCATTAGTGAACATAAATGATAGCATGTTAATCATTTTAGAGCTTTTTGCCTTTTTATGATAATGGAAGTTCAGAATTCTTCATCTGAGGGTACACGCATGGTTTGGTCTAAAAGTAAATGTTATTAGGTGGGGTACCGCAAACCCCACCTTTTTTTAGTTTTGTGTAAGTGAAACCCACTATTTCCTGGTTTGTGTGCCACCAACGAACCCCACTGTTTTTACTTTTGTATTGAAAATGAAACCCCTCTAATTTTTGCTGGCACTTGTCTTGGCCTTTTTCTTCTTTTCATTTTGATTTTGTTTTTTGTTCGGGTTTCTGATAATGATTTTAGTTTGTCAAGAAGCTTTATTTTTCCAATGAGACACTGTGCATCATCTCCAAGGAGATAGAAAATGTTCCCTTGTTCCTTGTTGGATGTGTATGTGTTGCATTATAAAATTGTCTGCAACTATTTTCTTCAAATTTCCCCTCTTTTTTTTTTTTTTTTTTTTTGAGATTCTTCAAATATCTTTAAGCAACTAATTACCAGCATATCATTTATATGTTGTTGGCTTGTTGCCAATGAGGTAAAATGTTTTGGCTCGGGCGCTTGGCACTAAGGAATGTGTTATGATCCCAACCTGAAATCCAATCCCAACTTGAGAGTGTAAATAATTGCAAATCTAATAAAAAGAACTAGCTAGAGACTAAAAGTGTTGTTACATTTCCTTAAATTTGAAGCATTTATCAATTATAGTCACCATGATCGTGCCATATGGAATTGTAGCCAACTATATTTTGTGAATTTTAGCATTACTTGTTCAGATCCGGTCCTTTTGTTTTTCGTTTATTTTAGCATCGTTGTATTGTTAACTAAAACTGAATCTAAGGCAATGCCGTAGTTTTTCAAGTTCTTGATGTATATTTCTTCTCCTGGTGGACTTTTTTGCAGGCTGTATTCTGGTTAGTCGTGCCAAGATTGATCAGGGAAGAACAGATCAAGGTCATAATGACTGTAATGTTACTTATCTTCTTATTCCAGTTCCTCCCAAAGGTATATCACAGCATCTGCATGATGAGAAGAATGCAAAAGGTCACAGGTTACATCTTTGGTACCATTTGGTGGGGTTTTGGCATTAACCTCATAGCTTACTTCATTGCCTCTCATGTAAGTCATTGATGTTTGTTAAGTTGTATTTCCGACCAAATTTAAACAACATGCATACTGGTGCTGGAGAAATTATTTTTGCATTTCAGGTGGCAGGAGGGTGCTGGTATGTGCTCGCAATACAGCGTGTGGCCTCGTGTCTCAGGCAACAGTGTGAGAGGAATGCCCAGTGCAATCTCTCTTTGTCCTGCTCAGAGGAGGTGTGTTACCAGTTTCTGTTACGGCCAGGAACCGTAGGAAATCCTTGTGGCGGTAACTCAACAACAACAGTTAGAAAGCCACTGTGCTTGGATGTTAAAGGACCATTCAATTATGGGATTTATCAGTGGGCTCTTCCTGTTGTTTCCAGCAATTCTGTTGCAGTTAAGATCCTTTATCCCATTTTCTGGGGCTTAATGACCCTCAGGTAAATGACAGTATTAAAGTTATGAGTTTGTATTGGGATGCAGAAATATGTGTCATGAGCCTCCTCCTATTTGGTTGACCGTCACTTTCACAACACTGCACATTTAGATAACTGTTAGGATATCTGAGTTTTAATTAGACTTGGCAACGCTGTGACGGTGAGGAAATGGTCAAGAAGACGAGCAGTCCAGAACTGATTGAACCCCAATACTTTTTTACAGCACCTTTGGAAATGATCTTGAACCAACAAGTCACTGGTTGGAAGTGATATTCAGTATATGCATTGTTCTCAGCGGATTATTGCTATTCACATTATTGATTGGGAACATCCAGGTGAGTTTTTGATCACTTCACATAACTGGAGATTGCTGATGCTCATAATTTTCTTGAATTCAATTTTTAATGACAGTTGCTTATTTGTTGTGGTCAAGGTATTCTTGCACGCAGTCATGGCAAAGAAGAGGAAAATGCAGCTGAGATGCCGGGACATGGAGTGGTGGATGAAGCGCAGGCAGTTACCATCTCGTCTTAGGCAGAGAGTTCGACAATTTGACCGACAAAAATGGGCAACAATGGGAGGGGAAGACGAAATGGAATTAATCAAAGACCTGCCTGAAGGACTTAGGAGGGACATTAAGCGTTATCTTTGCCTAGAACTCATCAAAAAGGTACGAACATACAGGTGGCAAATGGAGTTTGTGAAACCACACCTGAATCAAACATCTAATTTAAGTGAAATCTCCTTTTTTCCTCAGGTCCCTCTGTTCCACAACTTGGATGATCTTATCCTTGACAACATCTGCGACCGGGTTAAGCCACTTGTCTTCTCCAAAGATGAAAAGGTAGTTCAGTTTATTCTTAAATTATCTTTCTAGTTACAAGCTACTATAGTGTTACAACTTACAAGTTAATGTTCTCCTGAAACAGATACTTAGAGAAGGAGATCCTGTGCAAAGAATGGTGTTTCTTGTTCGTGGACGGGTGAAGCGTAGCCAAAGCCTAAGCAAAGGCATGGTAGCCACAAGTGTGCTTGAACCAGGAGGCTTTTTGGGTGATGAGTTGCTCTCCTGGTGCCTCCGTCGGCCATTCATAGACCGCCTTCCAGCTTCATCAGCAACATTTGTCTGTACAGAATCCATAGAAGCATTTGGTCTCGATGCCAACCATCTCCGGTATATCACCGATCACTTCCGCTACAAATTCGCCAACGAGAGGCTTAAGCGGACAGCAAGGTACTATTCATCCAATTGGCGAACATGGGCAGCAGTGAACATACAACTTGCCTGGCGACGTTACAGAATGAGGATCAGGGGTCCAGAGACTCCTGTGACAGAGAACGGCAACAACAACAATCGCCGGCTGATGCAGTATGCTGCCATGTTCATGTCAATCAGGCCACATGACCACCTTGAATAAAGTCAAGTTTAGCAATTGGTCTGGTCACTCTCTCCTGTCATGTAATAAGCTCTTCCATTCCATAGGAAGAGTAATCTCCATGGATATCGTTGAACTTTCATCTGCTGTATAATCTGAGAACTCAAGCTTTAATAATTCCTGGGAAATAGGAGAAAAAATAAAAACTAAAATTAATTAGATTAAGAACATGTTTGGTGAAATTTATAAGTGTTTTAGTTTTTCAATACTGTTTATATTTCATAAGTTTAAATTTTTATTATACGAAAAATTTAAAAGTTGTTTTTGAAAAGAGTAAAAAATAAGTAAAAAAAAGTTTTTATAAAGTAAAAGTTTAAAATTTTTTAAATTTTACAATATAAAATCATTTTAAAGTTAAAAAATAGTTAAAAAATATAAGTTTTTAGAAAAATATTTTAAATTTATGAAACATAAATAGTATTAAAAAAATTAAAACACTTAAAAACTGAACCAAACATGCCATTAAAAAGTATTCTCCACAATTCTATAAGAAATATAGTAAAAAGAAAGTTATTAATATCGTGCTACAAATTGTACTATTTTTTTTTTGGAACAATTTTACAAATGGTTAAATTTAAACCATTGTCTGGAGAATGGGATGCACTTAAATATGGCTTGACACCATTAAGCCAAAGGCCAATTGCTACAAATTTTACTATTTGAACTGTAGTGAAAGTTGGAAATTAATTTTTTTTAAACATTAACATTAACATTATAATTGAATTGCAAGATATGATAATCAATAACATTGGTTAAAACCTCATTTTGGTCCCTGAACTATTATATGGACCTCCAATTAGATCCTTAAACTAAAAAAATCCTTAATTTGGTCTCTACTATTTACTATTTTGACCCCGATTTGGCCCTTCCATTAAAATTCTATTTACGTGTTTAGTTAGTTTACTGTAACATGATGACATGGTAATATATTAATACACATAGGAGACAACTTGGTAAAAAATAGTGGCATGGAAAAAAAATATTAATATGACAAAATTTTTTTTTTTAAATTCCTTCTCTTTTC